ACTGTAAACTGACATTCAAATAGAAATTCAGATAAAGTCTAAGAAACTGAAAATTTCACCCCATCCATACTTACACACATATTAAAATTCAAATTTAAAATTAAAGAGTTTTCCTTATTTTCTTTTGTGAAATTAGTCTCAATTTCACAGAATTTAGAGATGCACCAGGCCTGGGATGGAGTTTCTCATAAGACCAGACTTCAAAAGTATTACGTATTGTTATTTTCTTTTTCCTGATATACAAAATTTATTTCATAGGTATATTTCCTCAAAATAATTTTATCTCAAAAGTAATGACTTGCAACATTTTTTTGTTTAGGGAAATAGACTTACTTCTTGCTTATTATTGCTGGAACCATCTCGTTGTCTTTTTGTAAAAGAACCTTCAATTATGCTTGTCATCTTGCTCTGTACAAAGTTAACAACTTTCTTACCCAAATCATTTTGGGCCAAAGCCAATATAGAGATGTAGCTGTCCATTACCTAGAAAAATTTCATTTTGATATAATGCCCATGATAATTTAACAGGATATAATCTAAGTTACTTACAGTATTTTCAATATTTGTACACTGATATTACTTATGTCTTACACTTTGTTCATTCTGAATAACAATTTTAAAATGAACAAACAAATCCATTACACATTATAAAACTTTTATCAAGTATTCATTTCACTTATGCAACAGACTAGCTGTTGCAAAATTTTTAACACATGAAGTTAATTATGTTCATATAAGAATACAAAGATTCTTCTTCAGTAGGATATGGAAATTACTCATACACACACACACCCTCACACACTAAACAAGAGGTCCACAGCCCACATTGCTCACTTGAAGAACTTTGGTGATACTGTTCTATACTTATCAAGCTAGATTACCCCACTTGTAATACCTACTGTGGCCTCACCCTAGGCCTCCCCCCACTTGTTATGATATTAAGAATTTAGAATCTACATTATCCACGAGTGCTTCCACATATGTTTCAGCTGTTCTGGCCAAATGGTTCTTGGGAAGAAGATTTTCGAAAATAATTTTCCTATATATTTCAATGAAAAACTTGAATTCACTATTATGACTCACCCAACCGGGTTGTGATTTTTTTTAAAATATCTACACTACCCAAGGATGCTTCCATATAAGTTCAGCTTTTCTTTCTCAGTGGTTTTTGAGAATATTTTTCCTTGTAAGGGAACTTAATGGCACTTCAATTTAAAAATTTAAACTCCCAATCACCAAAGGATGCTTTGTACCAAGTTTCCTTAAAATTGACCCAGTGGTTCTTGAGAAGAAACTGACAATGTGAAAAGTTTACAGACGAATGGACGGACAGACGGACGACAGACCATGAGTGATAAGAAAAGCTCACAGGAGCTTTTAGCTCAGGTGAGCTAAAAACCACAATGCTCTTTTTTTTCTTTACCATATCAGTCAACCATTGTCCAGGTCTTAGTGATCTGATATCTGTGTCACAAACTTTTTGCCCTCCAACCTTTGCCACTGGAATATGGCCATCTTCTTCTAAAGACCATAATTTCATCACCAGTTTGTATGCTTTTAAAAGAAATTAATATCTATTCAGCATATTAAGGTACATTGATACTCTTATAAAAGAGATAACTCTAAATAATTTCAGACAAATGTCTATTATTCCTTTATAAAGTTTAAGTGCCTTTTTTGTCAACTTTTGCCCCGCACACCATGCTATAATTGTTTGTATTTTATTCAGCATATATACATTTCCTTTGGAAAATTATAAAAGTGAAAAATTCCATATGACTGAGCAGAGGGTTTATGAACCTTAACTACAATTTCATTTCTAAAGCAAAGTAAAGTAAAACTCGCAAAAAAAAAAAAAAAAAAAAAAAAAAGAAAGAAAAAACCACCCACACCACATCAATATAGCTAGCATAAATGTTAATATAGTAAAATATATAATTAAAAAAATATATATTTCTTTTTGTATAAACAATTCTGAGATCATATGCAATATGTATATAATACACATGCATGTACTTTACGGTGTACTGGTTTCCCACGGATAATTTTCCAAGTTTTTTTTAAGGACAATACTGAAACCCCCATCACTAAACACCCTCATGATTGCAGGCATTGAACTGAATTGAATGTAATTATAATTAATTGCAGGCTTTGAAAAAAAAAATCACCTCGAAATTAATTTAAGTCTTAAAAATTCTAGTTCACTTAAGACAAATGTATGTGTTTTAGTTGACAAGAAAATGATACACATAATGCTCATCTTAGAGAGAAAAACTTATAAATTAAAAGTAAAAAATACCTGTTGTGTCATCTTGTTCCACAATTGTTTGTGCAGATTTTGAAGGCCCTGAAAAATTATAGTAAAATTTATAAACTTGTCAATTATCAATATAACTTTTAAATGTTAATTCACAGAACTAATATTAAAGCATCTCTTTTGATACCATTGATTTCTGTCATATTCTCCTCCACAGCTGCAACAGAAGGTTCCGCAACCTTCTGAATTTTCTTCTTTTTATTTTTCTCTTTACTCTTAACCTTCTTTTCCCCTGCAAATTATAGAAATATATATATGATAAAAGTTATTAACTGCTATATCATACATGTTTAAATAGTAAATCATATCATAAGGAAAATCATCAAAATCATTAAAAAAAACAATTAAAAATCAATTAACATATTTGGTTGCATAATACAAATGTATTTAGGCTGTATCTTCGTGTATTTTATTGAAAGCACAGCAGATGCCAATCATACGTTTAACACAGTCATCTTCAGGTGTCACTTTTTCTTTTTCTGTTTCTTTGCAAATATCCTCCGTTGCATCCAAAACAGATGGTCCTTCCTCCACATCTAAAATCACACCATTACATTTAGGTCCATCATACAATCAATAGATGTATTTCTTCATTTTATTATATATCATATGAAACAACTAGAATTCCAAGGGCTACAATGATCACCAGAGTATCTATGGTCAACCTGTTCTTTATCAGATTCTTATCCCTACATATTCAAAATTTTGATAACGTTTAAGCCCCACCCCACCCACCCCAGGTAGGTCAGAATTTTAACAAACTTCCATCTATACTACATGAGCATGTGCTTATATTAATATGAATAAAATTGGCTTTGTTTTTCTTTTGAAAAATAGTTACTTTATATATATTTCTATGCGAAACATTGACTCTCTGTCATTGCCTCACCTACTATGGTGGTCATATGAACAAAAATTAACAGTAGGTAATGAAACTCACAAATTTCATCATTTCTGTCTAAGTGTTTCATGAGAACAATATTTTTTAAAGATCTCACCTATTTTTCATGAAATCTTAACCATCTTTCCTCTAAAAAATGCAAGACACTTCCTGTACACAAACTTAAATCTCCTTCACTTATTCTTAAAAAAATGTAACAAGTTTGGTTGAAATTGGCCCATTGGTTCTTGATAAGAAGTTGAAAATGTGAAATGTAACAAGCAACAACAGACCAAACTGCTTAAATTGATCCATAAAGCTTAATTGAGCCTTTGTCTCAGTTGAGGTATTTCATGAAAAATCTACTTAATCTTAGACTAAATATAATTATAATCAACTATTTCCCAATGACTTAAAAAAAACAACTGACAGAGTGAAAACATTTTCTTTGACAGTTAATTTTAGTACCTATTACAGAAGCATCCCTCATAGTCTTTGCCTTCTTTCCAACTCTTCTCTGATATTTTCCAAGCTTTCTGAAGTATTTTCTTCTAGGTGGGAGGTTCCTTAACTTTGTCTTCGGTCTAAGGGGTATTCCCTCTTCTTTTGGGATATTTTCAGACAGTATGGCATTTGCATTATTGAGGATTGACAGACATCTACTCAGTGCATTGTGATTTGAACAAATATAGGCTTTATTTTGAAGATCTTTTAATTCAGCCACAACATCTCTTTGGAGTTTTGTGCAGTCTTCTTGAAGGTCTTCGGAATCCTCTTGAAGATCTTCAGACTTTCCCCCCTCCTTTTCAAAAAACTTCTGGATTGGAATTTCAAAATCTGATGACACATTTACAATTTCATGTTTTTCTACAGCTCCAAAGTCTAAGTTTACAAAGGGACTTTCTGCATAAAGTGGAGATAAATCGCTCCAACTTTGGTTTGTACTCTTGAAGATGGCAAAAAAGTGTTTGCAGAGAAGGAAGTTTCTACGAAAGTCTTCACAGGTACAATGAGGAAATTTCTTCCCACTTCCCATAGTCACCTGGTAGGTTTGGCTGGATTCCCTACTTTTTACATGGTATATCCGTCCAGAAATGTCATCTGCAATCTTTATATCACCTGAGTCTATCTGGTCACTGGAGTGGTATCTTTGCATGCAGTGTTCTACAACTTTCCGTGGACGGTTATGCAAGTACTTTGGTATGCTTGCATCATACGCTTTAAAGTTGGAACTTGCCCTAAAAATATTTTAGATTGTGTCAAACTATGTAAAAACAGATGAAGTACCTTCAAATTATATCACTGTGGGCTTGCTAACATGACATAATGTATGTAAAACAAACAATAATACATGTACAATACTCAGGAAAATTTCTGGCCTGCTTTTCCATCATTTTATGTTTTGAAGATTGTTGCTTTTCCCCAACTACTCTATACTGATATTTCATCATGCGTTTAAGGGAACTTTGTCTAGTTATTATAGTATGCCAGCTAGGGCATCAATGATAATATTGGGAAACATGGGATAATTGGATAACAGGCGAAGCCCGTCATGCATAAATTATCGTCATGCATAAATTTTATTGTGAAATAAAATTGTAGATTTAGATTTTAAAAATGTAGACAAAGATTTAAATGACACGAGGACTATCATGCCAATTTCAATAGTCCTTGACCACTGACATCAAACACAACGGTAGCCGCACGAGATTTACATGCTTATTAGGCCTCCTTAGCTCCTGACCTATCGACCTGCCTAATTTACATTCTGCTAGAATTATCAAGAAATCAATATGCTAACTTTCATAGAGTTATCACAGAGAAAAAAGATCGATTAGAAATGGAAATATTATGTGTTCCCTTAGCAAAAACAAATGCTATATTTGCATTGATTTTTGATTTTATTTGTCTTGAAAATACATTGAACATTGGTTATGCATTTATTTTTGATTGAATCCAATTCAAAAATCTTCAGACCATTGATTTTGGAATGATTGAAATTTGATTTTTTCAATAAATGTTGTTTCAATGCATTTATTTTGCATTTATTTTGAATTTATATGATGTCATACCAATAACAAATTACACATGAAGTGATCTCTTTGGTAAATCCATGATTGAATTTGTATTTATTTTCTGAAGCATTGATTCAGAAATAAATGGTAGCTTTATCAGCTGTGTATATTGCTGGTTATATTAGTGCTAACCAGCTGTAAACATATCCAGGGAGAGGCTGATAAAAATCACGTGATTACTCTACGTCACTTTATCAGCCATTTCAAATTCTGCTGGCGCTGCATCCAGACAAGCTAGAAGCCATGATGTACTTTGATGGAAATGATCAACATTTTGTTGTGTTCTTCCCTGTGGACTAAACTATTCATATTATGGCAAAAAGTTGTGTAGAATCTAAGAATGATGAAGACAGCTAGGTGTTTTGTGACAGTGATATTGAAGGTGATGAAAAGATGGTGCCGTTGAAGTAGATGCCATACAAATAATGGATACATTGTTTTCTCAGGAAGTAAGTTATTTCTTTTTTTCTCAAAATTTATTCTTAATCACTGTTTATAGCATTATTTTACCCATCATTACACATTCTGTGGAATTTCAGAGAGGGGGAACATGCCAAGTATTAAATTTCACTCTCCAAGGAAGTCTTATGTAAACAAAGATCGGGGCTTAATTTCCATCACATGCTTTCTGATCAAATTAAGTTAATCTATGCTCTTTGTTTAAGCAACACTGCTGGTGTCCACTGCTGAGCTGATAGTGTAACTATAAACTAATTAGTCTACACTACAGAATTACTAATTATGCACCAAACCTCGAAACACCATGCAGTCTTGACTCTCATTTATTTTTTATTTAAAAGATTCATTTATTTATCAAATGATAAATATCTTGAATGTGTTTTTTTTTTCAGAGTATGTACATGCTCCAAGTGCAAAAATTTGAAGTTAGATCCTGTGCCACCGAAAATGTTCAATAAATTTAAAGCAGTCTATAGTTAAATGGAAAAAAAAAGATTTAACTAATGCAGTTCCACAAAAACTACCAATAACAGTCCAGAAAGTGAGAAACTTATTTGCTGAGTAACATAGAAATGGAATTCAAGGAAGTGTTACTACTTCAAATTGTGCCTTTGTGATATGTGATTAATGTATGGAACTACATGTATACTGTTATTGTGTCAGTGATTTTTGGGTTTTATTCATGTCTCACACACATTCAAGTGTAACATTTAATTAATAGGAAGTTAGTAATTCATTTACTTGAATTTATAACTGTACTGGTGAATTTTTAAGATAAGTATTCAAAATTTTGGTAAATTAAGATACATGTGATGGATTATTAGTAATAATGTTTGCATTGAGCATGATGCTGGATATTGTTTGTTACCATAATTATGTGTTTATTCTATGTTACTTCTCAAGTTTCATAACATCACTTAAATGTTTTTATATGTATTACTTTAACATTTTTCTGTGATGTCACAATAATGCTAAGTGACATCAAATAAATGCTTCATACTGTATTTCATTTGTTTTGCATTGATTTTGCATTTTTCCGTGATGTCAAAGTAATCCTTCATCTCATTTACATATTTCGCAAAAATCCAGCCATTTTCAATCAAAAGTCAATGCAAAATAAATCAAAATCCAATGTTCAATGCTATTTCAATGCTTTTTTCCCATACAATTTAGCAAGGAGGCACAGTTGATTTCTTTGCAAATCAAAAAACAATGAAAATCCAATGCTCAGAAAACAACTACAAAATAAATCAAAATTCAATCAATTTGATTTTGCTAAGGGTTATCTACTTGAAAATTTTTAATACTTCCTTTGGTTATGCTTAGCACTTATCATCAAATGATTGCTGATACTGAATTTACTTGTATTCAATGGTACATGTATTTCCCCAAAGCCTGCTACTTGGTAGTGAGTATACTAACTCAAAAAGTGATAAAAAATTGAATGAATCTGACATTTCACACTCAGGTCTACAATACTCCCCTTTAAAATTTTTTAAACTTAGTAATGGACATTGTTCAAACATAAAACAATATGTATAATGTACATAATATTTACTGACAGAAAAGTAAATGTTTTAAAGTATTGGTGCAAATCTTTTAATCAATAATCTTAACTACATGTAGTATTTTATATAAGACTTATCCTGCTTAAAATCTTACTTCCACACAATAATTCCCCCTCCCCCAACCTTGGTAAGCAGGAGTAATCACCTTTGAAGAAATATGGGGGAGTTGCAGAAAAGCTAACATCATAATTGATAGAAAGACACATGAATTTTATGGAAAATCTGGGTCACAGGAAAGAAAAACATGTAAAAAGCGATGAACAGATGACAGTTAGTCTGATAGGTCAGCTGAGGATTTATGGAGATTTCATACCTGTAATTCAACATCACATAGTTCTGAAACAAATCTGGTAGGAAATCCTGGATGACTACTCCCATCAAGGCGCTCAATGTTCCAGGATTAGCTAGTTTTAAATAAAAGTGCTTTAAGGCTTTGTTGAGGGATTCTACACCATTTGTTGTTGTTACAGGTGAGTGAAATCCAAGGTCCATGAAAGCATTGCACCAGTACTATAAATAAAAATATAGATTTATGCACTCAAAAAAACAGTAAAAAGAAATTTTTAATTAATTCTTAGCTTGTGTATTTTGGAAAATCAATATGTATCTTCGTTGGCAGATATGGATTTATCAAAAATATTTGTTCATGATTCATTATGCATACATGTAAATAAAAGTACTGTATTAATATTTACACAAGGTTAATGTTTCTAATTAATATCCCTGTAAAATATCTAATTATAATCCTTAATTAAAGTATCTTCCCATTTGCTAACTTAAGTTATATCTACCATGAAGACCGATTTTTGAAAATTTACTTTGACTTTCTTTCTTGATCTTTATTTGAAAAGATCCTGATTTATATAGAATATACTCTCTTGACTGATATGTTGATATATTTTTATTTTCAACAGCACATAAAATGCTTGCTGCATTACAACTAAGTGTTGATCCCAGGGAGGACCCTAATATTAAGAACTATTTTAAAACCCTGATCCTCCTTTACTAATTGCACCTAAAATCAATTAATATTTGGACTTTGAATAAGAGTATTATAATTTTAATAAATGATTAAGGTCAAGGTCTAGTAAATGACTAAATTGGACTGTTCTTTTAGGTGCAATTATCCATTAATGACATCACAATCCCTTTCAAGTGTCTTTTCCCCGTATTTTACAACTCTAATAGAATTATGTAGAAAAAAAGTATTTACATGAAATTCTGTTTGAAATCATTAATGAAAAGTAGTCCCGATACCTATATTAATTGCAACATAATTTTTAAAGAAGAGGTCAAGAACACAAATATCCGTTTTCTGAAAGGTTTTTTTTTTGCCTGATATGGAAAAAACTAAAATAATCATGACTGGTTTTCTTAACTTTTCATAGGAAATGAACAGCTAGTTTAATATATGAGTGTTTATCTTGTTTACCTAAAAAATATGCCCTGAAACACCTTATTTGACCAAGCTATATATTATAAAGCATCATTACAGGATTTTGATATATTTGATATATCTGTAAAAACCTTTCATTTACTAGATCTTGGCCTTACTCAAATCTAATATGTCTGGCATCGACCATAAATTCAAGAGCCTGTAAGAATTTATGTTGGGCCATTTATGTTTGTATACCCTTTGAAATTGATTATCTTGCTTGTATGTCACTATATTAATTAAGCCCTCTACATTTACATAAATTAATCAATATTCATAAAGTTGAAAAAATTAACAAAAAAATTGTAAATGTAGTGTTTTTGCAGAAAATAATTCTGATTTACATAAGCATGAAATATGTAATGAAAGGGATAAAGCTGAAGAAGAAATAAAAATTAATAAATTAATTGAATTATTATTACATCATTCCATTAATACATGTAGTGAGAGATGTACATATATACATGTATATAAATGTTTCATTTGTTTGCATGATTTAAATGCCACCAAAACAACACATATGATATTATGATACTTTTCACAACACAAGAATACATTACCATCTACAAGTAGCTGCCAGTTGGACTGAAATACAAAATATTCATAGAACATGTTCAACATTTAGCAGAGCAATATATAAAATTTTATTATTTTTAGCATTATTAGATAGTACATAAATGTGTGTGATTCAGATCAATCAAGTAACATTGTCTGCAAGGTTCTTTACAATGCCTATACTTCATCATGTTCATTATGTTCAGACAAGTTTTGCAATTTCAAAATCGCCATTTTAGCACTTTCAATTAATTTGAGGAAGAATGTTCATTCTTAATCAATACAATATATTCTGGTGAGCTTGTGATAAAAGATACCACAGAGTCTGACACATCTGTTTCACATTTGGATATTTTTATTGGAGAAGTTTTTAATGGTAATCTAACAACAAAGCTTTATGATAAATGACTTTAAAATTTCTATTGTCAACTTCCCTTACTTATGCAGCATTATAACTTATGACCAATTTCTAAAACAAGGTAAATTATTGACAAACAAGTTGATGAAGCAAGAATAACAGCAGTCTCGTTCAATTTTAAAGATTCTCATTATATAATATTTTTTTAGTATCCCATAAAAAAGCATATATATTAATGCTCTAAATCATTTTGGCTTAGTTTGGTTCTGTAGAAAAAAAAATGCCAAAGCCCATAGACATACAGAGAGGGAATACACTAGAATTTCAAACTACCAAAGATGCTTCCTGTGATTTGTCTATACAACAAATGTCTTTGTTGATCTTGAGAATAATAGAAAAAATATCAATACAGCACAAGTGAAATACAAATGGATAGTGTTAATGTATAGTACATTAATATATACATACCTCTTTCACAGACAACCATTTGTTTTCAATATATTTTTGCAATGGTTGTTTGAACCAATGGCAGCTCCTCAACTTTTCTTCAGCCAAATCATATTCTTCTACTGTTGTAGAATAGGCAACATTACGCAGTGTTGATAGAAAATCATCTCTGTGTATGCTGCTTATGTTTTTTTCTGTAAGAAATCATTTTTTTTTCAATTAAGTAACAATTAATAATGATAATTATGATAATAATAATTAAGGTACTGGTTCTACTTCTGTTTCTAAGTAATTGAATATTCAAATAATATCAACAAGAGTACATTTTGTTAAGCCTATAATGTTCTCTTTTTTTTGCCAATAATCAAATGGATTCTGAGAATCAATTATATAAAACCAACGTTTATTACATTTTGTCAAGTGTTGGTCATTGTCCAAGGAAGACTCAGAGTTAAAATCAATTTTAATTAAATGCTTTTATTTCAACCTATTTCAATTTATCAATTTTATCTACTCATAATTACATTTTTAAAGGAATCTCCTCCATTTCTATATCAAGTTTCACATTTTTTTTCAAAGTTATATATATATGTAGTGGTACATAACAAACTTATAATTTTTTTTACCGCTTCTTGACCATCTTTCCCAGGCTTGTTCTCTGTGAAATGCACACAAGAGGACTTTGGAAGATGCAAACTCTGCTTTTACAGCATTAATTTCTGCCTCACTGTAGTCTAGCATGACATAATCGGGGCACCAGTCTGGATTCCAGCCTTTTAAGATGTGTAGGGCCTCCTGGATACTGTCAGAAGTCTCATCCTCTGTCACAAACTCTGCCACAGGGATGTACTCCACATTCGTCCTTACCACAACCATAAAAAGAGGAAGGTTGTATTTGGTAGTTCGATAGGTGGCATCGAGGAGGGATATCGTATTGCCATACATCTTCATCAGTCTCCTTTGCCACTCTTCCTGGTGTATGAATAAAAAGTTATCCCCGGCAGCATCAGCAGTTTCCTCTGTGGCTGGGCGAAAGAAGAAATGGCGAGAGCAGTCTTCCTCCTTCTTCCACTCATCGATCTTCGCTCTTAAATTTTCCTGGTCTAGGACCGAAAGTTTCCCTGCAGCAACAGCTTTATGAACATGATTTTTAATATCTTTTGTAAGGGGATAGAATGCCCTGTCATATATGGATGGTCTAATGTCTTTATTTCTGAATTCTGCCTCAACAAATGATCTCAAAATTTTTTTGACAATGGTGACGTTAGTAATTCCAGATTTGACAATTTCATAAATTTTAATCTTTACTTTTTCATTCAATCTGTTTCCAAGGGAAGACTGTGGAGAAATATCGTGTTGATGTGCAGCTCTCAAAGGCAGAGAAACATAAATTCTTTCCTCTCCAGTGTAATTTTCTTCTTCCTGCATCCGTGATGAAACAGTGCGCAAGATTTCCTGCCTCTTTCTACTGGACTCAGGAAGGTCGTGAGCACAGTACTCTTCATCTCCATGGACAATCACATGTTTGATAATAATCTGTGCAGTGCACCCAATTTTCCTGGTTGGTTGCAAGCTAAACCGCTGACCTTTAGCATAACTGTGCTCATCGGGTACTGCCTAAAAGATACAAAATCTAAATAAATAATTATTCTGGAACGTTTTTATCAAATCCTTTACAAAAGTACAGTAAAAATTGTTTAAAGTGAAGTTCTTGGAACTTGCAAATTTACTTTGCTCTATCCTAATTAATTCATTAATTTTGAACATGTATATTCCTCAGAACGACAAGGTACTCAGTAAACATAGGAAATCTGCATTAATTGTAAATTTCATGCATTTAAATAAGAAAAAGTATCATAACATTGCAGAATATTGCTAATTTTTGCTCCAAAAAAAAGTTTTATTTTGAAAATTTAATCACTTGTTATCATATATATATTGTATGAGAAATCTAAATTAACAAAACATATTATGATATCAAAGTAGGTTATTGACAATTTTTGTATTATGACGTCACAAACTATTTGGACTTTTCAGCAAGGAAAAATGGCCAAAAATGTTCTTTTTTCTCTATTAAAATTATATTTAAAATTATAGAGCGCTGGCCAGTGCTCCACAACAATATTTAAATTTATCATCGATTTTATATCATTCTACACTTTATATAAATTATTGAGCTTATTGACATAATATACAACTTATCTGAAGAAATAATGGAAATTAAAATTCAATCAATTTCCTGACGTCATATCCAAGTAACATATGAAGTCCTGGTTGTTTAGTGCTTTGTAGTCTGCAGATATTCCCTTATTTTAGAACATAATTATATGTTTCTTTGTCAAAGTTTGAGGGCATATATTCGTCATTACTGTATATAGTCCTTTGATATAAAAATAACTTACCTTTGTATTTGATTGCACTCTTTTGTGGGCCTTGCCATATTGGCATTGCCTTATGATGTGTCTCCCAATACTGAATGGATATCCATTTAAGGGAATGTCCTTGTGTCTCCATAACAAGCGCCCACTAAATTGTGTTGAGATCTTTCTTTTTTTGTCATCATGCCTATATATAATAGAAATGAATTCATATACATGAATAATTTTTTATTTTTATCTACCATTTTATCAAAAGAGTCTTCTTCTGACACTAGACCATATAGGATCATGAAACATCTTAATAAGCTTAAGTCAAAATTTTTATATCATACTTAAATACATGTAGTCTAGAACAAAAAGAACTGAAACTTATCTGAAAGTGACCATCTAGGAGCGAGTCAGCTATTTTAGACAATTACATTTTCGAAATAACAAAATGAATTACAGAAAAACTGTTGTATCTCTTAAAAATTTAACTTCCGTAAAGGTAACGCAGGAAATTTTTGGCATTAAAGGTTTAAAATTTTTTTTAATAATTATGGGAGCGAAATGTTTAATACTTTTGTTTAATAACCAAAAACAAACTTTGATTTTAAATACATGTATTGCCATGCAAGAATTTTAACTTTTATTGCTGGGGAATTAACTTCCGTAGCATTAACTTCAATAACGATATTTGTACCGTTAAGAAAGTTAATGTTACGGAAGTATCGTTATGGAAGTTCATGCTACGGAAGTTAATTCCCAAGCAATTTTAATTTAATAATCGGATTAATGCGAAATTTCATGAATCATATTTTAGCTTTATATACTGAACAGGGGGCGTAGCTGCCTCCCCCCCCCCCCCCTCCCCCCACTTTTTTCCTCAACCTTACTTATACTATAGGAAATGTTAATTGAAAGCCCGGTTGCCTCCCCCCCCCCACTTTTAGTAATGTAAAAAAAAATGTAGTATTAAAATTAGTACTGAAAGTAGTTGACACTGAGAAAAAGTAAACCCCCCCCCCCCCCCCCCCCACCACCACCACCACCACCAAAATAATAGGATGAAATAGGATTTTCGACTTTGGGCAACTTTTGCCTTTTTCTCTTTTTTCTTTTTTTTTCTTTTTTTTTTCTTTTTTTTTTCTTTTTTTTTTGCTTGTCAACTTTTTCAGATAAGTAAAAAAAAATTCTCTGGCTGCCCCCCCTCTCAAAAACGATGCTACGCCACTGCTGAACATCAGAAACAAAAAATGGTCAAATTTAGCGTTATTTAAAAAATAAGAAGACTTGAACGAGCATAACCTCCTGTAACATTAGCTTAAAATCAATATATTTACATCCACTGAATATTTCTACTTTATTTCTTTAGATAACCCACTGCGTTAATCACTGCATGAACTACATTAGGCATGTCATCAGATTTATTGATCAGTGGTTGTTCCATCAATGACACGTACGAAGACGTTCGCATCATCAGTACAATAATTAATCTTTTTAATCCTACTTTAATTGATTGTTTAAACAGATATAAATATAAACAATAAAATGTCTTACGCGGGTTATGGAAGATGGTTTTTTTTACTGCAACAGCTGCTTCCGTTAATTCCCGTAATAACATTAACAAAGAAAGCATTTTATTGTTTAAGTACATATAATATTAAAATTGTTGTAAAAATTTAAAGATGCTACTGCTAGATTTGTGGAAACTTCTTTTTTTAAGCTCACTTCACTGATATGTCCTATAGAGAATTATGTTGTACATTTTGTTCTTTTAGACATTTTTTTTTTCGGGTTTTATATCTTGAATTGGTCCATTTATCAAAGGATGACTGAAGAAACCCTTGATATTTTAAAACTATATCATATGTAGTCCATACGATAAACACTTAAGGTGGGCCGATACATATAGAAGAACCACGTACTCTAACTCTTGATTCCCGCCTACATTTTGCACCCTTTAAATTCAATTTTAATGGCAATTTGGACATTAAAAAATTGGTTTAGTACAAAGAACAGATCTATGGTAATTGATTAATCATTTTAATTCCAGCTCTAGATAGTAAATGATCATTAATTTCAGCTCCTCAAAAAAAAAGGGGGGGGGGGGGTAGACGATATTTTCTAGTCAAATCTAACTTTCAAGAATCACTTTATTTTGAATTAGTCTTAAATATGATTAAATGTATTTCATATCTTTTCTTTTACTGTACACAAGTAAAATAAAACATATATAAATTATTAACATACAATTATTTAGTTGTAAATAGCTTAAGAATTGGTGAAAAGTCATCATTTTTTCGTTTTGTTGTCTATAAACATGCCCCCCCCCCCCCCCCCCCCGTGAAACACAAAAAGCTTTGGCATAAATTTGTAAAATGACAGTTTATATTAAATGTAAAAAGGAATTTTTGTTTCATGGGGGGGGGGGGGGTTGGTGGCAGATGTTTTAAAAATATTTTTCCGTTTTCCATTGATTTCTATAGTGAAATACTCAAGTTTTACCATAATTATAGAGTTATCTTTCTTTGGTACCCCAAAAAATTAACGTTTTATGAAAATTCATATAAATATCTATAAAAATTCTGAAAATCATTCAAATAAGTTAACTTTTGAAAATTGAATTAGAGCTAGGCGGGAGAACAATACTATCATTCGTGGTTCTTTTAGCATCATCTATAAAAATCAGATTGCTAAGCAAACTTATATTATCGATAAGCAAACTTAGATAATAATAACAAATATATAATTTTTGCCAGTGCAAAAAAAAAAATGTATAAATTTAATACTAAAGATAGTAAGTTATTCTTATATGTATTATTTTTT